GGACGGGAAAGTCCGTCCTGAACCACTCGTGGAGCTGGAGATGGGCAGCGCAGATCCAAGGGATCAAAACATCAGGGACCTCACCCTTGGTGCGCAAGGGGAATACCATGGTGTAACGCGTGTAGTCGTCAACGACCAGCAAAAAGTACCGCTCTCGGTCCTGTCCACAAACGCGGGCTGGGCCCCGCACGTCCATGTGGAGGGTCTGCAGGGGAGCAGCCAGTGGGGGAAACAAGGAGGAGTGAAGAGCGGCGCGCTGCCATCCCTCGACACAGGGAAGACAGGGAGGAGTAGGCGAGGGTGGGAGGGGAGGGAGAACCCTGGGAAGACCAGAGACAAGGAAAAGGCGGTGCATCCCACGAAGGCACTGCACCGAGGGGTGACCAAGACGGTGGTGCCAAAGGACGGTCTGGTGCGACAAAGCGCGACACGAGCAGGGGGCCGCTAGCTGACCTGACGCGAACGCAGACGCACACGCAGCTACCCGAGGGGACACAATAGTCAGTGTATACATACTCAAGCCAGGCGCACGGGTAAACGTTGCTAGGTGCCGGCCCGTCCGGGAGCACGTACAGTGGGTCACACGCTGACCTCCAGGAGTGAACTGGTGAACCAACGCATCCTGGAGGTCAGCTCCACTCACCAAGTTCGTAGAGAACGAGGGGAGGTGAAACCTTGGATAGAAGATAGGCAAAAGAGGACTTGATTACAGAGAAACAAGAGTACAAGTAGTGACTAGGCAAGCTGTGAGGATCTAGGATCAGGCTCAAAAAAGAGAATGTAAATTGAATTATCCACCTGGATACAACACGGGGCTATATATAGTCTCGACACAAGGCCAGTTACCCAGGTGTTACGCGAATGTTCAGAGGGTCGCGAAGCGTCCCGAACAGAGCCTTCCCGAACTCAGTAGAAAGCAATTCGGTGGAAACCGAATAGGCTTGAGTTCGGTACACGTAACCTGGTTCGGTGCTATAACTATAATAAAATATAGGAATGCACCTAACCTAGGTAATCAAGCATATCTATGCACGATAAATAAAACCCAAGCTAGATATAGCATAATAAGGTCTTGGCAACCTAGCAAAGCCAGCATAAGCTATCGTACTCTTACATGTTGCCCCCTCAAAGCTGGGTGGCGTGAGAAACACCCTCCTTGACAAGATAGTCCTTGAGAGCACAGCGTGCGTGCTTCTCCAACCCAGCTGTCCTCAGTGGGGTCGTATCCCTTCCAGCGTATCAGTAACTCGAGGGTCTTACCGCCGCGGCGCCGATGAGTGAGAACGCGCTCCATCTCGTACTCGGGTTCATCCGATATGAGAAAGGGTGGTGGTGGCGGTAGTTGCTGTCCCTAGAACTGCTGGTTCGAGTCCTTGTAGGGTTTTAGTAGCTGAACATGGAAAGCGTTGTGAAGCTTCCATGTATCTGGTAAGCGCAAGCGGAATGTAACTGGTGTCACCTGTGCCTCCACGAGAAATGTACCATAGAAGCGAGGCCGGAGTTTGGATGGGAGGTGAGACAGGTTCAAGTTGCGTGTGTCAAGAAGCACCTGATCTCCGACTGCTACAGAGTGATCTCGTCGCTGACGATCGGCATACTGCTTCTGGGAGGTCTGCATCGTGGTGAGTCGTCGCTAAGTTTTCTCCCATAGCTGCTGCATGGTGGTGACGAAGTCATGTGCGGCTTGGACGTGTGCCGGTGTGGTTGGCTGCTGTGGTGTGGGTGGTTCCCGTCTGTAACACAAGAAGAAAGGAGTTTTCCCTGTGGCCGCATGTGATGCGTTGTTGTAAGCAAACTCTAGGGTCGGTAGTTGTGTGTCCTAGTGGCTGACGACGTCTTTGCAAGCTGTTCGCAGTAACTCTTCAACCATCCAATTAAGTCGCTCTGTCTGACCGTCGATCTGGGGGTGATATGATGAAGACATTGCAAGCTTTGTCCCCAACAATCCCATCAGCTCCTTCTAGAACTTACTCGTGAATTTGGGGTCTCTGTCTGAGATGAGTGTAGCGGGGATGCCGTGGATGGTGATGATGCGGTCGAAGAAGAGGCGAGCAGTTGCTTAAGTGTAGCTGTGGCGTTGGTCGGGATGAAGTGACCCATTTTGGAGAATTTATCGATCACTACGAGGATGGAATCATGTCCCCGTGAGATCGAAGGAAGTCCTGTGATGAAGTCAAGGCTAACGATCTCCCATGGCTGCTCCTGTATGGGTAGACGCTGAAGTAGCCCTGCTTTTTTCTGCTTGCGGCTCTTTATTCGCTGGCACGTGTCGCAAGAGGTGACAAACTGCTGCACGTGTGCTGCCATCCCAAGCCAGTAGTAATACTTTTTCATTTTGTAGCACGACAAAAATTGATGCCCTGCTGCGCCGCAAAATTCACATTTTGTCGGCTGGTGCTTCGCGTCGTATTTGTCGATGTCCATCGGTTCGGCGAACGTGGGGGGTGCCGATCGCTCCATGCTGAATGTACGGTTCGGCGTGAAACGCCGTGTTTCGAGTTGACCTCGAGTCAATTCGTCGTATCACTCGGCAGCACGCACGATGTCGCGATAACTGTTGTAATTCGCTATGATGACCTGTCGGCGAATCTCCAATTTTATCCCTTCTGTGTACGCCTGGATTTTTTCGCTTTCGGTTTGGTCGGTGATGTGATTGAACAGGAGCTCCATCTGCTGCGTGTACTGTGCTACACTACTGTATTGCTTGTGACGGTGTATCTGCTGCTGCGCTATGTAAATCGTATTAATGGGTTCGAAACGTTCGATGAGGTCTGCCCGAAATTGCTGCCACTTTTCTCCCCGCGGGCCACGTCAGTGTAGTAGATCCACTCCAATGCCGGTCGACGTAACAATGTCGCTGCGAGCCGAATCCTTGTTGCGTCGTGTGTCGCGGTCGAACAGCCAATGGCCTCGAAGTAAAATTCAAGGGTTGCCACGAATCGTCGAACGTTGGATCCTTTCGCGCTGGGATCGAACGCTTCGGGGAGCCTCGGGCATGCTGCTTCGAGGTTCGGCGATAGTGGTGTCATAGGTCCGTGAAATGTCGGTGTCGCCACTGCTCTTGGTGTTGTCGCTGCTACGTTCACTGCTGCTGCGGTGGCGGCTCCTGGTTGGTGTGTCAGAAGGGCCTCGAGTCGTCGGATCGCCGACTGCGTCTGCTCCATGTCGGTGCGGAGGCTTGCGATGTCGCTCGTCGTCGCGTAATTGTCCCCTTGGCCCTCCATGCCTAACATTGCGCGTCCGAAAAAACTCAAACGAGGGGGAGCAAAAAACACGGAACCGGTTTTACGTACCTGAAATCGGTATTTAACAGGCGTCGCCCCCGCGGTTTTTGAAGACTCGGTTTTAGCGGTCGAAAAACTTTCGCGTGTAAACGGGCTCTGATACCAAGTGTGAGGATCTAGGATCAGGCTTAGAAAAGAGAATGTAAATTGAATTATCCACCCGGGTACAACATGATGCTATATATATAGACTCGACATAAGGCAAGTTACCCAGGTGTTACGCGAATGTTCTAAGGGTCGCAAAGCGTCCCGAACAGAACCTTCCCGAACTCAGTAGAAAGCAATTCGGTGGAAACCGAATAGGCTTGAATTCGGTACACGTAACCTGGTTCGATGCTATAACTATAATGAAATATAGGAATGCACCTAACCTATGTAATCAAGCATATCTATGCACGATAAATAAAGCCCAAGCTAGATATAGCATAATATAGTCTAGGCAAGCTAGCAAAGCTAGTATAAGCCGTCGTTCTCTCACACAAGCAAGCAAGGAGGTATACCACCAAAAAGAAAGCTACGCTACACTAGATAATGTTGGATGCACGTCATTCTGAGTGCATGTCATCCTAACGTCCTGCCGAGTGCTCGTGCTATTTGTGCTTGCATGATTTGCATGAGCATATATCATTGTGCATGGCTGTTGGATATTATCATCTCTGTGTTTTTCTCCAAGATTAAATGCTTGATCATGCAGGAGAAATCCAGAGCTTTCCAACGATACCAAAATCACCTTGTTCTGACCAAGATCGCCGAAGTTACAAGATTTCCAAGATTTGGATTTCTTATTACCTTTTGGGGTTATATCTAATTTGGGTGATTACTTGGGACATGACTTTAAAGGGATCTTTTGTTGGGTGGTTAGGGAAGGCAACTTTGACTTTTGGATTGGGGTGGCTAGAAGTTTCTAGCACGGGTTGCAAATGTTGCAACACCCAGGCAAAATCCAACTAGATTGGATTTTGCATGTGACACCACAAGGACCTCATGATGAGGGTTGCATCCTTGCTGCTAGGAAGGTTCGTACCATCCTTCCCTAGCTCTTGGAGAACCCCTTCCCTCTCATGGTTCTCTTGGAGTCCCCAATGTCAGAGGTCCACTGATGATCCCCGATTGATCCTAGGGGGGGTTACAGGCGCGTTTGCCTGGGGGGTTAGGGGCGCACTGACCCGCTACTGAAACAAGCCCTTTTATCCCAATGGTCTAGTGGTTGGGATTCTGACACCCAACTCCAACTTTCTATGCCTTAATGCTTGTACTTCCTCCACCATACTAGTCATGCGGCTGCTGGACGTTTTTACATGGTTCTCAGTCTATAGACCATCTTAACGACTGATTCAACTTGGAGATGGTAGCTAAGCCTAAGGCGCAACTTCCTACCAAGCGGATTTGCGTTTAGTTGAGTAATAGGTTCATCGCAAGCTCTCAAAGTGACGGATCGTGAACAAGTGGTATCAGAGCGGGTAGTCAACTTTGAGACGACGAATTGTCGTCAATTCTCAACCAATGTTGTCGAGTGAGACCATTTTCTAGAAGCTCTACTTGCGAACTGTCGATTGGTGGTCGAATCGCATTCTAATTCAAAGTATCTAGTCCGCGATGGCGATTTTCGTAGAATCGAAATTTCTGGCAGAATTCTCTCCAAACGATTTCTCAAGTTTCCACCGTTCATAAGGCCTCAATATGGTTGGTACGAACTCTGGAGGTGCTAGTGGCGAGATGGATAGAAGTAGAGAGGCTGGAGAGCAGGGGGGAGTTGCTGGTGGAGGAGTGGGGACTCACCAACCAGCCAACCCTACGCTACCTACTTCTTCTACACCATCTCCTACTACCGTGGATCCTGTGAAAGCTTTCTCTATTGAGAAATTCATGGGGGAGGACTACGAGCACTGGAGTTTCCGCATGAGGCGGATGTATACCCAATACAAGCTATTGGATTTGGTTGAGGGGATGGAGAAGATGCCGGAGGCCGCGGAGCTGAAAGGAGCGTGGATGAAGCGATCGTTCGACGCGTACATGCTCACGGTGCAAGCGGTTGGCGGGCGACAACTTGACCACATCAAGGACCTCTTGGGTGATCAAGAGTGTGGCCCCAAGGCTTGGAGGAAGCTTCTGGATGTGCACTCACCGACACATGCTACCGGCATCGTGCTACTCGCGCGGCGGCTGCGCGACATCAAGTTCGTTGATGGAGAGCCGATGCAACCGGTGTTGGATGAGATGCGCGACATCTTCACGAAGCTCCAAGGAGGCGGTGTGGTGTACCCCAAGCTTATGCAATGCGTGGAGATCGTGATACGGCTGCCGGAGTCATGGTCTGCCCTAGCGATCAACCTCAACTCCCAACAACCCCAATGGAGCGTGGATTACATTCATGCGCGCATCCTAGAGGAGGACCTGCGGCGGCAGAGTGTGGAGCGCTCGGAGGAGGGGGTTGGCTATGGAGTTGGAGGTGGAAAGAGTGGCTTCAAGAAGAAGTGGAAGGGCAAGAACAAGGATAAGCCTAAGGAGGATGGCGGCGGGGGTCAAGGGGAGGTGTGCTTCTACTGCAAGAAGCGCGGACATCGTTGGCGGAAGTGCTACCAACGACCAAAGGATTGGACCCCGCCTTCATCAAGCGACCAGCGTGGTGGCACGAGGAGTGGGGGAGTCATGGGAGCTAGTGGAGAGGAGAAGGATGAGGAGAAAGGCGGCAAATCTGAGGAGCGGAAGGCCGGGTTCTTCTTCTTCGTGAACGAAGGCGCAACCGACCAAGCTATGGCTGCCAAGGTTCTCCTACACCCCCTCACCCATTGGGTGATTGACTCCGGGAGCACTTGGCACATGACTCCTCGTGCGGACCTACTAGATGAGATTCAGCCCGCACCCATCTCTACAGTCACATCTGCGACGGGCGCCAAGGCCAAGGTCATGGGCATGGGATGCGCCAAGTTCATGGGAGCGGATGGAGAGCTCGTGGGGCTGAAGAACGTGCTGTGGGTGCCGGACTTGTGCGCGAACCTGATTTCTACCGGCCGGTTGGGAGATGCGGGTGTGAACACCGAGATGATTGGCTCGGAGCGCTATCGTGCCTACAACGATGAGCGCCTCATTTGGGACCTGCAGTGGAAGGGAGATGTCCACAAGTGGATGTGGCAGATCCCGGTCCTCCCTTGGCGGAAATCGGGCAAGACGGCAGCGGCGGCATCTATGGAGGAGAGTGTCACCGAGGAGGAGCAACAAGGTGTGCAAAGAGAGGAGCTGATTGGAGGACGGGCGGCGGTGAAGGCGTCGGCTACCTTGGGCCAAGCGGATTGGGAGACTTAGCATCGGCGGCTCGCACACGTGGTTGTTTCTACATTGGAGGTGATGCACAAGGAGAAGTGCGTCCATGGGCTGCAACTGCAAGGAGATGGCGCTCACTATGGCAGCTGCGAGGCGTGCATGCAAAACAAGTTTGCGCGGTTCCCGTTTCCACGTGCAGAGGGATCAGCCAAGGAACCATTGGAGGTGGTGCACATGGACCTGGTGGGTCCTATGAGAACTGAGGGAACTGGGGGAGTGCTGTACTTCCTCACCATGGTGGACAAATGGAGCCGTTTCACGTGGGCACGTCCCTTGTCCAAGAAGAGCGATGCTGCAGCGGCGATCAAGGAGGATTGGTTGCCGATGGTGGAGCGGCAAGCGATGCGGCTGGTGAAGGTGCTGAGGAGCGACCGAGGTAGAGAGTTCCTTGGAGCGGAATTCACCAAGTTCCTCAAGAGAAATGGCATCCGACATCAGCTGACCTGCCCTGGAACACCGCAGCAGAACGGCATTGCTGAGCGTGCCAACCGGACTATTGGCGAGGCGGCTAAGACCTTGTTGGGGGCTGCTGGGATGCCCTACAAGTTTTGGCCTGATGCCGTTCTCCACGTCATCACGGTCAAGAACAGGGTCTTGACGCATGTTGGCGACAAGCATTGGGTGCCGTACAAGCGTTGGCTTGGGAAGAAGCCATCTATTGACATGCTGCGTGTATGGGGCTGCATGGGGCTTGTGATGGTGCCTAAGGAGCAGAGGCACAAGCTGGAAGTTGCTGCTATGTGGGCTGTCTATCTTGGGATGGCTCCTGACTCGAAGGGGTGGCTGATGTGGGACCCCAAAAGCAAGAAGTTGCTGGTCAGCCGTGACGTCAAGTTTGTGGAGGACGTCATGTACAAGGACTGGCAGCAGCAGCAGCAGGTGCAGATTGGCTTGCGTCTGCAGGAGATTGAGCGGTCTGCAGTTGAGGAGGTTCAGCTGCACCTTAAGGATCTCCCTGGGTCAGAGCTGACCAGTGACCACAGTGGCGGTGCTGAGTAGCAAGGCGCCGGTCCTGCTGCGGAGGAGGGGTTGGAGGATGAGTCGGCACGTGTGGACTCCCCATCTCAGCCCGAGCCTGCTGCAAACACCAAGGTCACCAAGAGGAGTGTGCAGAGAGGAGCTTCACCACATGGGCAGTAGACTGTAACCCGTGAGAAGAGAGTGGCAGCAGCACCCTCAAGGCTGAAGTATAGCCATTTGGGAGGACCCAAGCAAGGTGCCATGGCGGTTCAGGCGGATGAGGGAGAGGATGAGGAGATGGCGTTCTGTTTCTTCACACCCTTGCCTAGAGAACCAGCCACACTGGAGGAGGCACTGAGTGGACCCCAAAAGGAGGACTGGAAGGCTGCCATGGATGCGGAGTTCAACAGTCTCATTGAGAATGGGACTTGGGAGCTTGTTGAGTTACCCGAGGGGCGACGGCCGATCAGCAGCAAGTGGGTCTTCAAAGTGAAGAGTGGTGCTGATGGTGCGTTGGAGCGGTTCAAGAGCCGCTTGGTCGCCAAAGGGTTTCAGCAGAAGGAGAAGGTCGACTTTGGGGAGATCTTCACTCCCGTTGCTAAGCCAGTGAGATTGAGGACTTTGATGGCTGGCGCAGCTGTGAAGGGATGGCACGTGAAGCTGGTGGATATCACCACCATGTCCTCAATGGAATACTGCTGGAGGATATCTAGATGGCGCAGCCCGACGGCTATGAGGATGGGACCAGCCGGGTGTGCAAGCTTAAGAAGGCCATCTATGGCCTTAAGCAAGCGCCCAGGTGTTGGTACGAGAAGCTGGAGGAGGTGCTGCTGGGTGGAGGCTTCAAGACGTCCCAGGCGGATCACAGCTTGTTTCTACTTGGAGAGGGGGAGCAGCTGCTTTTGCTGCTGGTGTATGTCAACGACATACTGCTGTTCTCACCTTCCATGGAGCAGATTGAGAGGACACAGAAGCTGCTGATGGACAACTTCAAGTGCAAGATGCTGGGGGATGTCCACTACTACTTGGGGCTGCAGACTGAGAGGGATGTTGAGAGGAGGTGGCTGAAGGTGCATCAGTCACACTACATCTCTGGTGTCATGGAGCGGTATGGTGTGACTGAGGGTCGCACTGTGATGACACCGTTCCCTGCGGGCTTCAAACTGAAGAAGGCAGCTCCGGAGAATGATGTGCTTGAGGATGACCAGCAGAATGAGTACCAGTCACTCATTGGGAGTGTGATGTATGCAGCTGTGCATACGCGACCTGATGCTTCATTCGGAGTGGGGCAGCTGGCGAGAGTTGTGCAGCGGCCCATTGAGGAGCAGTTGGAGGTGGCAAAGCGCTTGGTGCGCTGCCTCGGATCAACGGCATCTGCTGGTGTTCAGTTTTCAGCTGGCGGCCAGCTGAAACAGATTGGAGAAGATGGGGTCACGCCTGGAACTTTGAAGCTGTCGTGCTTCACCGACGCTACATGGGCCTCAGAGGATGAGGATCAGTCATCAGTTGGCGGCTTTGTGTGCATGGTTGGAGGTGGACCAGTGAGCTGGAGGTCCAAGAAGCAGAGTGAGATTGCTCAGTCTTCCGGAGAGGCATAGTACATGGCGATGTACCATGCCATCAAGGAGATCGTGCTCCTGAGGAAGCTGCTGGAGGACATGGGAGCTGAACAGGAGGGACCTACACCACTTTTCTCCGACAGCGAGGCTGCTATTGGCATGGCCAATAATCGTATCATGAATGGGCTGAACAAGCACATGAAGACTAAGTGGCACGGGGTGAGGCAGATGGTGAAGGAGGGAGCTGTTGAGCTTCACCATGTGAAGACTAGCAAGTAGGCGGCAGATTTTCTCACCAAGAGACTTCCCGAGAGCGCACATTGGAAGTGTGCTAAGATGTGTGGCATGGCATTGCATTAGTGAGGGCAGCACTGTCATGAATGCATGTGTGATTGTGTGCATGAGACTATGCATATGTGTGAGTGTGTGTGCATGCAGTCCACTAGTCTGAGGGGGAGTTTGTTGGATGCACGTCATTCTGAGTGCATGTCATCCTAACGTCCTGCTGAGTGCTCGTGCTATTTGTGCTTGCATGATTTGCATGAGCGTATGTCATTGTGCATGGCTGTTGGATATTATCATCTCTGTGTTTTTCTCCAAGTTTAAATGCTTGATCATGCAGGAGAAATCCAGAGCTTTCCAACGATACCAAGATCACCTTATTCCGACCAAGATCGCCCAAGTTACAAGATTTCCAAGATTTGGATTTCTTATTACCTTTTGGGGTTATATCTAATTTGGGTGATTACTTGGGACATGACTATAAATGGATCTTTGGTTGGGTGGTTAGGGAAGGCAAATTGGACTTTTGGATTGGGGTGGCTAGAAGTTTCTAGCATGGTTTGCAAATGTTGCAACACCTAGGCAAAATCCAACTAGATTGGATTTTGCATGTGACACCACAAGGACCTCATGATGAGGGTTCCATCCTTGCTGCTAGGAAGGTTCGTACCATCCTTCCCTAGCTCTTGGAGAACCCCTTCCCTCTCATGGTTCTCTTGAAGTCCCCAACTCCAACTTTCTATGCCTTAATGCTTGTACTTCCTCCACCATACTAGTCATGCGGCTGCTGGACGTTTTTACTTGGTTCTCACTCTATAGACCATCTTAACGACTGATTCAACTTGGAGATGGTAGCTAAGCCTAAGGCGCAACTTCCTAGTGAGTGGATTTGCGTTTAGTTGAGTAATAAGATCGTAGTAAGCTCTCAAAGTGACGGATCCTGAACAACAAATAACACTAAATGCAGTTTGTACATAAAATATAACAATATATTTTACAACACACCCTCTAAACTGCATGCAGGGAAAACAAGTGAAGTGAACACTGGGTACACTAGAGCAGGTGCAGCAGGTGCTGTAGTGGGAGATGAAGCGACAGGAGGTGTGAGGACGACAGCTGGACTTCACTCCCGCCACCCCCTCCACCATCTTCCCCACAGCAACAGGTGTGGCAGTAGGAGAGAGGCTGTGGTAAAGGCGGTTGCTGCTGAAACTGGGGGGAAGGCGGCTGCTTCTCAAACACGGGCGTCACCCCCTCACCCTCTCCCCCACAGCAGTAGGCGCAGCCATGAGAGAAAGGAGGCGGGCTGGTGCTGTAGATGCTGCCTCCCCCTCACACCCTCTTGCCCCCCCCCCCCCCCCCCCCCCCCCCCCCAAAACTGCTGCACGCGCAGTAGGGAGAGGGAGAAGGCTGGCGCTGTAGGTGCAGCCTCCCATTCACACTCTTCTCCCCCCACCCCACCCCAACCCCCCTGTCAAATGTTACATCTGCTACAGTTTGTTTAGGCTGTAGTGGGGTAGTTACTATGGGGTACAGTAAGTTTAGGGTTTCCTACTTGTACCCAACTCTTTCCTAGTGCAATCACTCTTGTTCATTTTGACATGGTATCACGAGCCTAGGTTGCCACCTAGGACCGCTTACTACTACGGGCCCACTATTCCGCTAGAAGCGCCCTCGTGCGCCCTACCTTACGTGCGCCTTTCTGTGCTCATGCGCCCTCGTGCGCTTCTTTTTTTTCTGCTAGTGCGCCCTCGTGCGCCCCGCCCTTCGTTCTGCCTGCGCGCCGTCCTGCAGCCCTCGCGCTGCCTCCTGCTGCCCTAGGCTAGTGCGCCGCCCCTGCAAGCTAGTAGGGCCCTCGAGCCGCCCTTGCAGGTCCGTCAGGCCCCCGAGCCGCCTCTGCAGGCCCGTCAAGCCCCTGAGCCGCCTCTGCAGGCCCGTCATGCCCGAGAGCCGCCCCTGCAGGCCCGTCAGGTCGGCGCGCTGCCCCTGCAGGACCACGCCGCCCGCGCGCAGCTTTCGTCCGACCGCGCGCCGCCCCTGCAGGCCCTCGCCACCCGCACGCAGCCTTTGCAGGCCCGTCAGGCCAGTGCGCGACCCCGTCAGGTCGCAGTCGCGGCCCCGTCAGGCCGCAGTCGCGGCCCCGTCACGCCGCAGTCGCAGCCCCATCAGGCCGCAGTCGCGGCCCTGTCAGGCCGCAGTCGCGGCCCCGCTAGCCCTGCAGCTGACACGGCCGCGCCCTCCTGCTGACGTGGCCGCGCCATGCTACTGACGCGGCCGCGCCCAGCTGCTGACGCGGCGTCGCCCCTGCCGTCCGCGTCGCCCTGCTCGCCGCGTCGCCCCTGCCCGCGGCGTCGCCCCTGCCCGCCGCGTCGCCCTACTCGCCGCGTCGCCCCTGCCCGCGGCGTCGCCCCTGCCCGCCGCATTGCCCTGCCCTACTGTTGGTGCAACCCTATGGTTTGCACTCGGCTTGTTGTCCGTGTGCATGCATGTGTGTGTGTATGGAATGGTATGAGGGCATGGGATAATATATATTTCATGCTTATAATTGTGTTTGAATGTTGAGTCATGATGTCGTGTGTGTGTGTTGAGTCAATAGCGAGTTATCGCTAGACGCGTGTTACGCGGTCGTTTGTGTCTCGCGCGCGGTTTCTATTTTGTCGTGCGCGGTTTCTATTTTGTCCTGTGTCGAACGTTCGGTGTGTCGCAGGTGTGTGCAGCAGACCCATCAAGAACTCAAGGATGAGTTTGTGATGAAGAGCCCGAGCCTTGGTGTCAAGCCTCAAGTGATTTCGAAGCTCGCCAAAAGGGTACACCTCAAGATATTGAAGATAGTTACATTACTTTGTGTAGTGTAACATTTCACTTGGTGTAGGCCCTAGTGAAGGGTAGTTTCGAGACCCTTCGTGGTTGGGGACAGTGTGGCACTGTTCCACATCACTGTACCTCGGCTCTTGGGGTTTGTAGGAGCTGGGAGTCATTCCCAACTCGTAACTCTTCATATCTCTTCCTATTTTGTGTTCTAAGACTATAGTTGCTGCCATAGTGCCGTTCGTTCAAACCAACACTGTGTCGTCAATACTTGATGAAATTGTGCGATCTAAATTGCCTATTGTAGGCGACGTTCAGACACTCCAGATCCAAGTTGAATCAGGTCATTTGAAGTTGTGACCAGAACGCTATGAACGTTTGAAGCCGCTGTGCAGAAATCCGGCTGTGCACTCTATCTTTCGTTTTAGGCACATTGGAGCCTATTGTGACTATAACAAGTGGTATCAGAGCCCCTTGGAGCAGTTTCGACAATGGCTGGACCTGAGGAAAGGGGTGGCAAAGGTGCTGGTG